TTTTAGCAAGCGACAAAAATTTTAACTACTTTCCATGAAGCGCGTATGTTGGCATATTGTTATTTATTCTGTCATGCAGGCTGAAATGCAGTTACTAATAATGAACTAGAAGATGGCTTGAGAAGTTGCGCCTCTAGAAATTATCAATTCCTAAATAAAAATAAACAGAAGTTTTCAGTAACCTTAACACTCGCTTATGGGCTAAAATTGACCGACGTTCGATGGGAGGAAGTGTCATCCCTGTGTATGCTAGTTTTGGCCTGGAGACCAAAAATCCACAGCAACAGTTGGTGGAATATTCACTGGAAGCGAAAACAGATGCGAAATCCGCAGAAGCTCAGCTGAAATCGCCAGGCTCGCGGATGAAGGCTAGGATCGATACAGTTAGTGAGCAACACTATAGCATCAGCTTCTTCAAGGTTTGCTTGCTACATCTTCTGTTCGTTTTTGTGCTTTCATACTGTGTTCCTGTGGGAAGAATTGATAGCTTCCTCCGGATCGGTATTATTCTTTAAATCTCCTGGCGGACCGTCTGATGTTCTTCCGTAATGGTTAACGGCTATCTTTCGCCAAGGCCCTACTAAAAGCTAACCACCGAGAAATTTATAGGAACCATGATGGAAACATTCGAATCATATAAGATGACGGTTACGTAGCCCTCATTTTGACAGCTTTGAACTGGGAAGGAAAACTATAAAAGTAAGTACCAAGAGTGTGATCCCTTCGCAAAAGGCACGTTATAATTTCCTTCAGTTTAGTGTGCCTCAGCCCAATTCAGTGTGCCTCAGCCCAGTTCAGTGTCCATCCTGTTTCTTGAGCTCAATTTTTCCTCGTTCGTCTTTAAGATATCCTCATAGTTCAACGTAATTTTGGTACAGTTTGCTTTGTTGCTGGACACGCCCACTGCGGCATCATATAACAGATTTATTTCAGAACGACGAACGCCCTTCATTAGTCGGTGATATCAATTTCGGAGACCATGGAGCAGAGATTGAATTTCGTGAGGGAAGGACGAGCGAAGTTAAATTACACGCGTCAGCTGTGATGAGTAATGACTACGAAGGGAAGCTTGACATATGGCACAGTGAAAGAGGCAAAAAAATCCAGGATGCACGTCTCTCACTACTGGTCAGTTATCCATCTTCATTTTACTCTCGGAAATTTCAGCACAATTTATGAAACTGTAAAAAAAAAGCAATAAACTATAATAAGTTTACCATAAAGAATTGTAGATGGAAGAAAACAACGTGCTGAAGGGAAAAGCCTACCTCGGAGCAGCAGTCGACGATGACATTATGGTATTAGCATACTTTCATTGAATACTTTTTGCTTAATTATTAGTTTCATATTTACTTTGCAGAGGAGATGTATGCACTATCTTCGTAAATCGTCTGAAGAGTAGGTAGCTCGCCAAGACAGAAAGACGTGAAAACGCTTAGTAGTCAAAATTCATTTAGGAGATTGGGGTTTTTTAAATGTCGGGATTCCAGAAGAAAGCGAAAGAGGCCGCTTCGAGAAGCAGCGAGCTGACTGAAAGTTCATTTATGAGGGATGCTCTACTACCCATATTCTCATCGCATAAGCAAATTGCCAATGATGTTATGGGAACTCTGGATGGAATGGTAAAACAATGGACTTCCATGCAACGGTTTGTTTTGTGGCCTTGACACGAAGACACTCTTAGCTTTATCGGCAGTGCTTCTTTTTTATTCGATGCAATTGCAGCTTCATTCGACCTGTGAAAAAAGTATGTTTGCGACCAAACCCATAACCTACTGTTTAAGATGTTTTGACTTTTTTGAATGTATCCCTCCTCCTGTTTTAACATCCATATTTCTGTGGTTTTGATGCAAACATCTCCACCACAGCAGTTTTTTTGCGTTTTTGCTTATATGCAAATTGCAAAAACGCATATTGCAACGACCCTGCGTATGTGTGTGTTCGTTTGTCCGGGTATTTCAACTCGGCAAGCAAGCAAGCTCCGGCGCCAAATTTTTGCCGGTGGGTTACCCGGCCATGTGCCACCCCAGAACCAACCTTTAGACAAGTCTAGACCCTGCGCACGAGAGGCTGAAACTTTTGGCGGAAGAATTGCTAACTCGGGAGCGGAAGAAGCTATAAAGCTGAAATTTTTTATGTTCTGCGTCCACATAGAACTCAAAGATTTCAAATTCAGCACCCGGGAGTGCATGGTTCCCCGTACAGCCTCGTAAGGATTCCTAATGCGAAAATCGCTAACTTGGGAACCAGGAAAGTTGGGAAACTGAAATCTTCAGGGAATGTTCCAAGCGCACGAATAACCTAAAGTTATCAAATTCAGCCCCAGGCATGTATGGTTGTCATGTGTGGCCCCGTGGAAATTTTTGGCGGAAAGTGGCTAACTTGGGAGCCAGGAAAGCTGAGGGGCTGAAATTTTCAAGGAATGTTTCCAGTATAAGCACAACAATAACCTATCAAATTCAGCCCCCAGTCTTACGTGACCCTCGCGTATGGCCCCCTGAAATTTATTGGCAAGAAAATGGCTGACTCGGAAACTAGCAAAGCTGGGGGCCGAAATTTTCAAGGATTGTTCCAAGCCCATGTACGACTTGAAGTTATCAAATTCAACCCCCAGGCCGGCGCGGTTCTTACGTCCCGTGAAACTTTTTTGACGAGAAAGTGGCTAACTCGGGAACCAGGAAAGCTAGGAGGCTGAAATTTTCAAGGAATGTTCCTAGCCTACGCACAGCTGCTTAAACATTCTAAATCCAGCCCACAGGTCACGTGCGGCCCAGTGAAAGTTTTGGCAGGAAAATTGTCAGCTCGTGGACCAGAAAAGCTGGAAAGCTGAGATTTTAGGAGAATATCCCTCGTCCAAATACAGCTTAAAGGT